GTACCTAGGGCCTATAGGGGGCTGGATGGTTGGGCCCATATGTGCGGGTGGGCTGTGTGGGTGGCTGTGGCAGCTGGGACTGTGCTGGAGGCTGGGTGTCTGGGTCCATGCAGGCAGTTCGGGCTGCATGGGCTGCTGAATGGCTTGGCCCAAGTAGGCAGGTGCAGCCGTGCTGGCAGTCAGACAGTTGGGGTCTTGTGGGTAGCCAGGGCTGCTCAGGTGGTTAGAAGGCTGGAGCTGCACAGGCAGCTGGAGTGTTGGAGCTGCATAGGTGGCTAGAAGACTGGAGCCATGTGGGCAGCTGGCACCACATGGGTGGCATAGGCCACATGGTTGGTGTATGTGTTAAGTAGGATGAACTCCTATGCAGGGAGAAGGGCCACAGTTCTGGGACTACACAATTGCTCGGGCAACTGTGGTGGTGGTAGGGGCACACTGGGAAGTGCTCATGGCCAAGCAGATTCTTTTTGCCACAGGGAGAATACCTTTTGAGTGATCCTGGTTTGGGAGACATCGTGGCGGCTGAAGCCTTGTACCTCTTTTTTTTCTACACCCCCTGATTGGTTTTCATGCTCCATAGGGTCCTCATCAGGCTCCTGCTGCCCTCCCACACTCTCCCACTGATGGTCTTCCCAATACTTAGCTGTCCTTTACCTGCTCTGGTCCCTTTCTGTGGGAAGTTCCCACGTTGGGCACCTCTAGTCCACCATCTTGCTCCATGCCTTTGGATTTTAAGGTTGATGTCCTCTGAGTCTTGGTGCTTTCTCAGTACAATTCCTTTCCCCAGACATTTGTAAAATGTTAAGTAAGATTAGTAATCTTGGACCTCATCCTGATCTGTTGGAAAACCCCATACTTCTCTATCTAACCAGATAAAGTAGTATTCAAACCTCAGCTCTGCCTAATTGTGACCTTAGGGCAGTTTCATTTACTTGTCTTTCTTTATTTCTAAAATACAGAATAGTGTATATATGTTGTAGAGTTGTGTTGAGTATTAGCAATAATACATGAGTATATAAAGCATTAGCACATAAGATTTCTTTTGTTCATGTAGCCTTTGGCCTGGAGCCTTGTTATATATGTTCTATCAATAGTTTCCCCAACTCCTTATGCCTATGTGTCTTTTAAAAGATTTCTATTCATGATCGTCATGATAGTGCAATCCCATCTTTCTTCTTATAAGGCAGGTTTCATTATAGTGTCAGTATTAATCGATTTGTCCAGTCTGGAAAAAAGAAAAACCACTTTGTCATTTCTAGAGTTCCTTTTGGAACCTGTTTTATCGAAGACTCTTCCATTAGCGGTGTGCTATCTTCTGACATACTGGCTATTTATGATAATGAGCCAACAGTCCCATGTTTCTTTAAAACCCTTGGTTAGGTGCCACCTGGTCTACGTAATGTAGTTGCATCTAACTTGTTGATTACATGTAAAATATTCAGTGCATTTACCACAATATGAGCTAATAACTCTGATAAGTCTCCTTAAAAAGGCAGATAGGCAATACAATTCAGAAGGCTTTTTAATGCAATTTTCAGTTGTGATAGCTGTTTTGTATTTAGGTTAGTTCACCCTACATGCTTCTTATTCATGAATTTTTGAGTTCTTTGTTTCCATTTGACACCATGTGTTTGAGGTTACATTTTATGAATGTGAAACCTTGCACATGCTTACTAAATGATTCAGGTTTTATTTCTGTCTCATGTGTTCTTAAAAATACCAGCTGCTGCTTAGTTGAAAGTGTAATTTAATTTGACTGACACATTAATTTTATAGTTCATAAACATGGATATATTTTCCTTGTTTGTGTTCATAAGCCTATTGGTTTATATGTTGATGTGTCCCTTGATTTAATTTCATTTATTTATTTTAAAAATCAATAAAAACAACAAAAATCTTGGAAGTCTTCATACTTGTTAAATTTTTGAAAACATGATTCTGTTTTTTGGAGTTCACACTTATGCTTAGAGAATTTCTTCCCATTTTAGTAGTTTCCTAAGTTTTCTATTTTAGGCAGAGAACAGCTTTTGATATTAATATAATTTTATGTTGTATTTATGGTAACAGTTGCATTTTGGATATGTGAAAGAAATATTTCTTCTCAGTTGCTTGGTACAATTTTAAGAACTTAATGACTAGATTTAGTTATACACATAGAAGATTGTTGTAAATTCATTTATTTATATTGATGGTTCTTAATAGTTTGGGAGTGAGAAAGCCTCTTGCAAAATTGATGATTACTTTGTCTCTTCTGACCAGAAAAGTTCATACATAGACAACTGCAGGAGATTCAAGGACCTTCTGAAGGCCTTTTGGAAATGGGATAGTATATGTATGCATAAGTATAAGGCACTATGAGATTTTGAAGAAAAAGGTGAACATATTGATATAAATGCTTCAAGTAGGGAGCAATTAATTTGGGTACTCGGGGACAGCATGTAGAACAGGTGTGGAACAGGGCAGGCTTCATGGAGATGATGGAATTTGAAGGCATGACAGGCATTCACACACAAAGGCTGTTCCAAGTAGAGAAAATAATATGAGCAAATAGACGGAGGCAGGAAAACACCTGACCTGTTTGAATATCCTCGAGTACTGAGATCTTCATAAGGATAATGGCTATTTCTGATTCACCTTCTAGTTCTGCATTGTACACAGCACACGGTATCTTACTCATTATGTAAACCCAACAAATACTTGTTGAATTGAACTACAGTTTTTACTTTATTCTTTACTATGGTTCCTAAGATCATCTTTCTCTGTGTCCTAACATGTTGAATCTTTGCTCTCACATATACATCTGCAGGAGAAAAAGTTAAATTTTGTAATTTCAATGACTATATACATTAGTTGGCTTTAAAAAGAAATTTAAAGCAAGTTTTATATCAGCAGGAAACAGCTTTTGCTATTGATCTAGTTTTACATTTCTTATATTGTATCTTTAGCAACTGTTGCTTTTTGGATGTAGAAAGAAAAATTTCTCCTCAGTTACTTGGTTAGCTTTTTGGGACAGGTAAAATGGTCATTAAAGCATCAGATAAACTAGTAGTAACCCCAACCACATATACTTTTGTTTAAATAAAAGCTAAGTGAAATTTGTACTGCTATGGTAATATAATAAATGAATAATAAGTTAATGTATGCAATAAATAAGAAATAAGACTCAGAAACTATAATATTGTACTTAAGAGACTTTCCCCCCTCCTTTTAGAAAGCAATAATATCTATGGAGAAGAGGCTGTGGGCACTAGAATTTTCTCAATTTTAGTTAACAAAATCCACCTAAAAATAAAACATATACTCATATGCAAAAAACAGTAAACTTACTTTCTTGATTTTTGACCTTTTAGTCAAAATGACTATAAAACATTCCTTGTCATAGTTTTGTTGGCTGGTTGATTTTTTGCCATTATTGCTAACATTAGAGCAGTAGGTTGTGTGTTAGTGAACTATTTATCTTATTTTGGTTAGTTTTTTAAAAGTCTCTTTCTGCCTTCTTTTATCTCTTGTGTTTACAATATTATAGTGTGAATTTAAGCACATATTTTATACATTTAACTTATTCAAGTAATATTTAATGAGTGCCTGCTCAGTGTCAGGCTGTTTCATAGGTGCTGTGGAGGCTGTAAAGATGAACACAATATTAATTCCTTGAGGTACTCATATTTCCTATAGATTCAGTTTTTTCTTCAGTATTAGGATAAAATTACTGTGATTTATCCGTACTGTTGTCTCTTTCAGAAATCCAACTTGCATTTGTGGGGTTGTTTTAGAGAAGTGAAGGGTAATGTAGAAGAGAATTTTACTCTGTGAAAAGCTAGCTTGCCTGACTGGGGTTGAGTACACGTGTCTCATTGCTCTTACCTAGCTTTCAGACCCAGAGTCCATGTCAATAATTGGATATCTCATTTACTCTCAGGAACTTGACTCTGTGCTTTCCCTGACTCTTCAGAACTTGACTCAGGTTTTATTTTTATTGAATTACAGCAGAGTCTTGAATCATTATAATGTTGACTAATATTAGATGTGGAAATTAAAAAAAATTAGTTTCCCTGTTTCTTAAAAGTGTGGTGTATTTCAAGAGTTTCTTACCATATTAAGTATTCAGAACTATGTATTTTTAAAAGTATTTTAAGTATTCAAAACTATGTATATGTGTGTGTGCACGTGTGTGTGTTTATATATATTTGCCTACTCAGTTTTCATTTTATTTAACCAATATGTAAATAATGATTGAATGTTCTAAAGGTCATACAATACCTAGTTTAGGTTTGGGTTTATTTTTATTTATAAAGATTGTTATTTTTAAAGTGAGATGTAAAAACAAGTTTCAACACTTTTCAGATCTTTCACATAAGAAAATTCTGCCACACATCCAGCCATATTCTTTTTGTACAAAGGTTACTATTTTGGAGGCTAGCTTTGGGAAGAATTAAATAGCTAGAGAGAACCAGAGTAAGGAATTTAAGGCTGGAGGTATTTTTAATTTTTTTTTTTTCAAAGCTTTAGAAAAGAATTTTTTAAGAACATTATTGATGGTCAAGCTAATAATAATTGCTTTTATTCAACTCATTTCTATGTTAGGCATGGTATTAAGCATTAAAAAGTATTATTTTACATATGAGAAAAATATTGTTGTCATTCCCATTTTAAAGTTTAGGAAATTTAGGATTAAAAAAGAAAGTAATTTGAGTTTACCCCACTGATAACTAGCAAAGGTGGGATTTGAATGCTCAAAGTCTGATGACTCCTGATCCTGATTACAGCAAGTCTCTACCTCTTTAAAGCCAGATAGATTTATTACTTTGGGTCCTTTTAATGTTTCAGCTTGTATTCCTATCCTTTATTTGCTTCTGATTTCGCTTAATGCCGTAAATGAAATTAAGAAGATATCTAAAGAAGTCCTTGATAATCAGTTGTAAAACATCCATGTGTTTTAAGAACATACCAGAAATTTATTCCTATATGTGTTGTTGAAATTGAGGGACATTATGACAAGCCACTGTGTTCCTTGTAACATGACTGTTTTCTGATTTGCAGGTTTTAAATGCACAGAGAGCAGGATACAAAGCAGCAATAGTTCACAATGTTGATTCTGATGACCTCATTAGCATGGGATCCAACGACAGTAAGTACAGGTATCACTTTTCTTCTCTCCTGTTTGACAGATTATTTGAAACTGAAAATTAACAGGATTTTTTTTCTTTCATTTTCTGTTTAAAAAGCAGAATTTCCTTTCTGTCAGATAATTCCCAATTCTTAACCCTCTTGGAACAATTTTATTCACAATGGAGGTGGAATTGACTTGTTTTTTTCTGAAGTTGTGTTTAACATATGTGTTTTATTTATTTATATATTGATAAAATCAAAAGGAAAACTAAAGCTTTAAAGATAAACTTGCTGAATTAAGAATGCCATAGAAAAAATTTTATGATTTATTTAGAAATTCACAACATTAAATTTTAAGATATCCAGAAATATTAAGTAGCTAATGTATTCTGGTGGAATTTCAAAGCCACATACTTGTGCTTTTTTATAGTAGATGGTTATTGATGTACATTGGCATGTCCATAGTTTTTCATGTAAAATGGGAATATCTTTCCTTACTCTCTACTAAATATTAGATTGTAGGGAAAATGAACCAATTTTAGTAAAATAAGTGGCTTTTATGAGACTGTGACTTTTAAGTTGTATGCTTCACTTAATGTAGTTTCTATCACTCAGGGCTCTATGGGTTTTATGAGAACCTTTCTAATTGCTACTAAGATGATTCACTGCCAACATTCATATTAGTAGATCTTTTATTTTTGTTTTCTTTAAGTACATAACCATAACATCTATTGCTACTGAATTCCATTGATTCATATATGCAAGGTAGAGATTAGCACAAAGAGTGGACATAAAGCTATGGGATGATATAGTACATTGGAATGTATTTAGGACTTTAAATAACTCGTCAATAGGAAATATTTTATATACCTTCACCAAAAAGTCTTTATAGCCTAAGACAGTGTTTGTTGCTGTTATTCGTCCTTCTTACCCCTAATATAATAAGGCAAAATTATAACATATAAAAAGTAAAACTTATTTATAAATTTCTTAGTTAATTCCTTTATATTTTAAATTGTTATTTTAATCTTCTAGCTGATTACATTTTCATGATTGTAGAATCCATGAAATACCCTTAAGAAGTTCTAGCATTTCAGGAACAGTTTGAACTGTGTGGGAATTATAGGACCAACCTGTTGAACAGAGTTTACTTGTCAAATAAACTGGTACTGTTGGTATTGCAAGTTTTTTTTTTTTTTTTCCTTTTTGTCTTTTTTCGTGACCGGCAACGGATCGCAACCCTCAGTGTTGCGCCCATACCGGACCGGGACCGGCCACAGGATCGCACCCCTCGGTGTTGCTCCCACCCCTTGCTCAGCCAGTGAGCGGCCGGTCTGTATGCGGGATCTGAACCCTCGGCGGGAGCGCCACCGCGCTTCCCCAAGCGGCGCACTATAGCAGTGCGCCACCGGGCCGGCCGGTACTGCACGTTTAACACATTTTTTTTTTCCTTTTTGTCTTTTTTCGTGACCGGCAACGGATCGCAACCCTCAGTGTTGCGCCCATACCGGACCGGGACCGGCCACAGGATCGCACCCCTCGGTGTTGCTCCCACCCCTTGCTCAGCCAGTGAGTGGCCGGTCTGTATGCGGGATCCGAACCCTCGGTGGGAGCGCCACCGCGCTTCCCCAAGCGGCGCACTATAGCAGTGCGCCACCGGGCCGGCCGGTACTGCAAGTTTAACACATTTTTCTTTTCCTTTACCTATCTACTGCCTTTTAAAAATATGTATATATATATTATCCCAGGTCAGTAACTTTTGTGATCTGTATACATTATTGGCAAAATGGAAAGCACAGATACTCTGGAAATAGGCCCGAATTCTAATTCAAGCTCCCACTTATATATTAGCTGTATAACCTTGAGCAAGTTACTTACCCTTTGTGTATTTTGCTGAAGGCCTGAGCCCAGAGTTTAGCAAACCCTCAAGACCTTCTCAAGGGCTAAATATGTTCTGGGTTGAACAAACTGATTATTTGCAAACTGTTCACTCTTTGGACATGTTGTCAATAAAAATTTTGCAAGCTGGAAGTTTCAGTTCCCTTTAGCACCTGTTTTGCCTTTGTAATACCATAAAACCTTTTTTGTGATAATCATGTCAGTTCCTAAGAAGAATGTGCTATATATTAAAAGTAGAACATAACCATATAATCCCACTGTTGCTATGGAAATGTTTCAACTGAGTTGTTATCTTTCAAAGATTGCTCAGACTTTTGATTCTTGACTTTACTGTTTGGATTACTTTGTGTGACATTTTGTTCCCTCCTTGCAAATGTTTGTGCGTTTAAGCTTTTCATATATCCAAAGACAAACGTTGTAAAGGTATTCACCACTTTCATCTTTGCTGTTACTTGGTAGAGGAAAGGAAAGCATGGATTTATCAAAAGGGGCTTATATCTACCTTCTTTTCAAGGCTTAGTCCTAGCTACAGGGAAGATTATTCTCCTAAGAGTGGAGATACTAATGTCTAGAAACAAAAGGAACTTTTAAAAGCCCATTGCTGCCAACACTTCACACAAGGAATGTGCCGATTTTTGTTTCAGTGAGGACAGAGAATGGGTTAACCCAGTGAGCCAATAACATTCTTTAACTTCAGGAGGCAGCAGAATGTGATGGGAAGAACACCAACTTTACAATTAGGAAATGTGGGTGTCTTACTCTGTTATTTGTTGCTTATAACAGAATACCCGAAATTGGGCAGTTTATAAAGAAATGAAATTCATTTCTTATGGCTCTGGAGGCTGGGAAATCCAAGGTTGAGGGTGCAGATCTGGTTAGGGCCTTCTTGCTGGTGGGAACTCTCTGCCAAGCAGGCAGTGCATGGTGAGGGGCTGAGTGTGCTAGTTCAGGTTTGTCTTCCTCCTCTTATAAAGCTACCAATCCACTCCCATGATAGCCCATTAATCCATTAAGCCATCAACCCATGAATGCATTAATTCATTCATGGTGAATTCATAAGAGGTGACCCAATCACCTCTTAAGGGCCCTACCTATCAATACTGCTACATTAGGGATTAAGTTTTGGAGGGGATAAACATTCAAACCCTAGAAGTGGGTTTATTCCAGATTAGTTGATATATGAAATAGCCTGTGTCTGTGGGAATTTCTAAGTCTATTATTTTCATCTATAAAAAGTATGAATAATTTTAATTTTTATTTGACTTGACAAGAATGTAAAGATCATATGAGAGAAAATGTATGAGAAAACTAATCCCATGGCAGAGTGGGAAGAACCTCGATAAGGAGTCAAAAGCTTCAAGTTTGGGTCCAGACTGTGCAAATTCTAATTGTATAACAGGGGAAGGTTATCAATATCTCTGGGTTTGTTTCTTCTTTTTGTCTTGCTTTCTTTCTACAACAAATATTTTTTGACAGTCTACTCTGCATCAAGCATTGTTTTAGGCACTGTGACTATAGCAGGGAATGATACAGTCAGAGGCTCTGCTTTAATACCATTTATTGAGGTAGTGTAGAGTATAGTAGTAAAGAGAGTGCTTTCTGTGTATTGCCTGCCAGGGTTTGAATCCCAGCACCACCACCTACTAGCTGTGTGGCCTTGAATATGTTACCTAACATATCTGTGCCTCAATTTTCTGATCTGTGAAATGAGGGATGATAATAGTCCTTACCTCATTGGGTTGCTGTGAGGATTGAATGGATTAAGACCTGTAAAGTATCTAGAGGACTCCCTCGTTCTTAGTAATCATTTAATGTTTGTTCAGCTATTATTATTATTGCTGTTATTTTATTATTATTATTATTACATACTAGGGTGGGAGAGAAGAAATGAACACATAATCATCAGATAGACATGCTATAAAGTGATGAGAAATGGTAGGATTATGGATATATTTTGTAGTTGACAGGATTTTATTTAGGGAGTAAAGGAAAGGGGGGAGTCAAGGATGATTCCAGGATATTTAGCCTGAGAAACTAGGTGAATGGTCAAACTACCTGCAGAGATGAGAAAGAGTAGACTTGATTGAGGGAAAAGACATTCAGAGTTCCATTTGAAAAACATTAAGTTTGAAACATCTATTAGGCAATCAAATGAAGATATTGAACAAGCAATGGATATATGAATTTGTAGAGGTTGGAACTAGCCATTCAAATTATAATTTATCTATGATATTATGATAATACTTGTTGGGAAAATAGAATAGTTTGGTCAGGGCGCTTGCTTTGGGTCCAGTTGGATGTGATTCAGCATTCTTTGTAAGCAAATTGTGCGTGTGTGTGAGTGTGTGTGTGTGTGTGTAGTTAGTGTGCATGCGTGCCAGTGTATCTTTTTAGTTTTGTTGCTATTCTTGTGTTCTTGAGAGAGAGAGAGGTAGAGAGGAGTTTTAGTGAAGCAGGCGGGTGGGCGTCTGCCTCAGGCATCTGCCCTGTGTGGGCATGCTTTCCAACCTATGGCTCCAAGGACCTTTTGGCCAGTTACCTAGCTCATAGACCTGCGTGTGACCCAACCTGGTATGTGAGGGGTCTGGGGACCCAGCCTGGCATGTGAAGGTTTTGTGACCCAGTCTGTGAATGGGCTTGAGGGGTCTGTGAGCGGGCTTGAATGCAGTATTTGTCTTTTTGAGCTTGACTTAACTTCACTTAACACAATGGTTTCTAGTTCCATTCATGTTGCTGCAAATGATAGGATGTCATTTTTTTTTGTACAGCTGAATAGTATTCCATTGTGTATACATACCACAGTTCTTTTATCCATTCATCCTTTGATGGGGATTTAGGTAGATTCCATCTCTTGGCTATTGTGAATAGTGTTGCAAGGAACTTGGGAGTGCAGGTATCTTTTTGGTATATTGATTTCATTTCCTTTGGGAAATTTCCCATTTCCCAGTAGTGGAATAGCTGGGTAGTAAGGTAGATGTATTTTTAGTTCTGTGAGGAAACTCCATACTGTTTTTCACAATGGCTGTACCAGTTTACGTTCCCACCAACAATGTAGGAGGTTCCCTTTTCTCCACATCCTCACCAGCATTTGTTATTTTCTGCCTTGTTGATAACGGCCGT